GGGTAGTCACCGTGCTTGTAGTCGCCCTTCGGGTAGTTGCCGCGGTTGTAGTCTCCCTTCGGGTAGTCACCGTGCTTGTAGTCGCCCTTCGGGTAGTTGCCGCGGTTGTAGTCTCCCTTCGGGTAGTTTCCATGCTTATTGTCTCCCTTGAGGTAGTCGCCGCGGTTGTAGTCGCCCTTCGGGTAGTCACCGTGCTTGTAGTCACCCCTGGGGTAGTTTCCATACTTATTGTCTCCCTTGAGGTAGTCGCCACGGTTGTAGTCTCCGTTGGGGTAGTCACCGTGCTTGTAGTCGCCCTTCGGGTAGTTGCCGCGGTTGTAGTCTCCCTTCGGGTAGTTTCCATGCCTATTGTCTCCCTTGGGGTAGTCGCCGTGCTTGGAATCTTTCTTGTGGTATCCTCCGCTGGGGTAGACCCTCGGATCTGTGCTCGCACTCGGAGCCTCGGTCTCCTTTTCCGGGTAGGCACAGCCCCACGTATCGTCCGAGACAAGGACACACTGAGCAACCTTGGGGGCAACGCACTTGCCGTGCTTGTACGATGCAACTCCTTCCCTGCAGCCGCCGCTGGCTTCGTCACCCTTCAGAGGACAAGCCGTTCCACTCGGGTACGCACCGGTACCCTTGCAGACTTTTCCGCGAGACGACGGGATCGTATAGGTGGCATCACCAAGGACCGACACGGTGGCGGTGTCGGCGGTAGCAAGACCGAGAGAAAGCATAGTCGCGATGACGGCACTGAAAGGCTTGAGAATGCGAACCATGGGGTCTTGTAAGTGAAAGACGCGAAGACTGGAAGTGGAACTGAAGAGGTTGAGTTGATGTGGTAAATTGGAGAATGAGGATATTGATCGAGATGAAAAACTATTCGTGGGAGGCAAGGCAAGGGCAAGAGCGTCGTATAGCAGCGAGCCCAAGGGTGCGAGAATCGCCGACGATGGAAATCAGGAAACACCAAAGGGCCACCGTTTTTTTGTGGAACATGGTTCTCATTTAACAATTGTGAAGTAAAGGGTCATTGTACCTCATCGCCTGTCCTCAAGTCTCGGCGCGACAACCGATTAATTCGTTGCAAATGCCCCGCCAGAAATGATTAATACAGGGTCCACATTTCAGTTCAGGGGTAAGTTATCCGATAACGCTGCAAAGGAATTGAGGTCCATCTCCGATTGCTACATTGTGAAGTCGGAACCATAATATTAATAAGGTACGTGTACCTGTTCATAGTTCAGCACGCTGTCTTCATATCAAAATGACGGTTGCATGTGTTCGAGGATGCACCCAGCTGCTCTTGTATTAAATGGAAACGAACAAACTGCCTGAGATCTTCATGGCAAAAATTCGCCACTCACAGCGCCTCCATTGGTGCTGCCCGAGTGACGACATCCCGCACGAGGGGTGTTCTTCTCACCTAAATGGATACATGAACTAAAAGAAAGTTTGCAGCTTTTGTTTAAATGGGGTGACAATGTGCAAGTGTACGACCAATCGGGGTCGGAACCAGTGAGTGGATTAAGCAACGATGGACGTGGAGATGGGACAGACTCAATCTTGTAGAAGAGGATGAATTCCGTCCACGCTTGCTGTTGCGCAATTTTTATGATAGTCACGCCATTTCTAAGAGCGCTGCCAATTAATAGCGAAATTGCGTCGATTGGTGTGCGACAACTAGAATCTACCGGCATATTTCGCACCGGTTCATAGTAAAGCATGGCTGAAATGAGGGTATGCGAGCGACATTCTTCACAATGAACCTAAAAAAACGACAATGGATGACGAGCTCCTCTCTGAATTCCACTCATATTAGCACGCTCAGCCCCTGTTCAACGACGGCGCTCCACGCCATCGAAGCATGGCTGCTGGTGGCAGGTAATGAGTGAGAAGGATCGTTTGTAGATGTACCATGCGTCCATACTATGCCGTGCTAAAGCCCGGATAAGCTCTGAATTTTATTAGTTTTTACTTTCATATCGAGCGTGTCCAACCGTGGCAAAGGTGACGTAGATAGCTAATCACTTTTCATTAACACTTTCTTATATCAAACATGTCCAATTTCTTTCCGCCGCAGCTACGATGCCTTAAGTTGTCGTTTTGCTACGGCGGCAGTCTACCTACCATCACCGCTGTAGTTGCGATTGCTGTTGACATTCGCATTTCTTTTTTATAAGCAAAATTTCCGATATCAACGTTGCATCTATGGTGATTCAGTTGTTCAACCTCACCATCTCAGCTACGGTGCGTGCTTCGGGCGTTACATGTTGCAGCATAGCTGCAACGATAAAGCAGGAGTAGATACAATATAACGGGATAGCTTGAGAGGCTGGGATAGTTTGACAGGTTGGACAGCCTACATCGATACACAGCAAGTGAACCGGCACTAGAAAGCAGTTGCCTGCGGGGTTGCGAGATCGTACTATTCTGCCTGGATCCTAAATTGTTTCTTGTGAATAGCTTTTCCCAAAGATCGCAATTCCGTGGATGTCTCGTAAAGTGAAAGACTCCAGCAACATTCGGAATAATCTTACGCTATCTACAAGGTTATTCATCAAATAAACAGGTGGAATAGTATTCGGAGATAGATTTTGGACATCCAAGGTGAGAGCTCTATAAGTTTTTGTCGTTAATCTAACCAACAGTCGTATCGCTCCAATGCTCAGGATAAAATCCAGAGGAATCCAACTACTCTGGATAAAATCTAGAGAACTGCATTTATGCAGATTCTGATTGGTTCCATCTGTTTACCATACCAGTAGTCATACACCGCGAGTCGTCCGTCATATTTGACGTCGACACCCCCTATTTTCATCCGTTGGAGCATACAATACT